ATTTTGCCCGGTAACATAAGTCCTTTCCTGCTTGTTCCGATGACCACAAGGCCGGAGGCTATCTGAAAACCAATTCCCTAGGGAATGCATTCATGCAATTTTTGAAATTCTTTCAAAGCGATCGCAGTACTTACACAAATGCCTCCGCCCCTGAGGCGTCGCCAAAAATAAGAATATGATATTGTGAATTTATGTAAGTTTTAGTTTACAGCATGGTGATAATCAAGGGTTTGGGTATACAATCTATAAGTTTGCAGTTGAAACAAATTATAGTAGCAACACAATGGAACATAGAACAAATATTTGCAGATGTGAAGTTAAGATTAATGTTATTAAATCCTGACCAACCTGTGAAGGTTCTGAGATGATTGACAGCTGAAAGAAGCCTGATGGTCTCCCCTTCCTCTGCTCCATAGTAACTCATCAGGGACACAATCTCCACCTTAGTCATCTTCAGCAGATCCTCCAACGAGATGTTCTTATTTTCAATTCCCTGTGGAAAACACAGTTATCAATTGGTTTAAAGGTTCCCACACAACAACGTAACAATGCTAAGGGAAATTTCTAACAGCATGATAGTACCTGTATTATTACTAGTATCCAGTATTTGTGTACACTGTACCAAGTTTGTATAAAAAGCAATTTTCAAAAAAAGCAATTCTTCAAATCACTACTAACTGAAGACATGAAAGCTGAAAAAATTAATTCTGGACTGTGAAAAATAGATTTCGAAAATGAACAGAACAGAAATTCCTAATTCATACTGATATATTTTTTGTACACGTACATGAAGATGACATAGATCTCTATACTAAGAAATACAAACAAGACAAAATGTTTTCTCATACCGTATTCATAAATTAACATGTACATTTCATCTGTTTTTCTTTGCATTCTACCATACTACGTTGTTTTAATGCCTACGGCTACAATCTTGACTAGTATCCACCTACAAATGAATCTCATACATAAATTTCAGAGGTAGTTCTATATCAGAACATATCCCATATCTGTATGTCATACATACAGAAGTAGACCAGTACTGTAGCTATACAGGACTGCCCTTAGCTTTGAATAGTGTTAAACACACCAGTACATACCCTTATTGCCACAGGTTGTATGTCCACCACTTCCAGCCACTGTTTAACAGACGGGTATCTCTGTAACTCTGCCGTTCTCTGCTCCTCTGGTACCTTGTTCTTCGCCTGCAGCTGTTTGCTAAACAGCTTCACTAACTTACCCTGCGGAGGGGGAAAAAAAGAAATTCCTCGAATGAAAAAGTATCCTCAAAAGCAGTTAGTTAGATACATTAGATAGGTACATTAGGGAAGTACCTCTGACAAAGAGTGGAAAACATGACTATGCAGCTTAACTCGCAAATTTAAGAGCATATTTCAACACTAATATGTTATATATAATAAAATTAATATAGGCTCCAAATCAAACAGCAAATCATCTTATTTTTGCAGTAGGAAGAGAGGCTTTTGCTGTGTTTTAAGGTGTCCATTTTGTAAGCTACTTTATTTAATACAAAATGTGTCAAGGGATTTCAAACATATTACAGCTTTATATGGTTCTCTGCTGCAAAAGTATACTCTACAAAATCAAATAAGTACATGTACTTCTATATACAAGTACATATAAATCTTTGTGAATGATGGACAGAACCTCCCACTTATCATGATAATAGTTATAGACTTTGTCACTTTTTAAGACCCCTAAGAATATTTTTGTGACTTTTAGTGCAAGTCAAGTCACTCAAGTCAAAGTCAGACAATCCAACTGTTCTTTCAATATTCAATGGTCTGGCTCTAAAAATACCCAGCTGAGTGCTTTGCCTTTGCCTACATAAAACTAAAGATAGTAACACAGCAAATACAAGTTCTATTTTGAGCAGACACTATTTTAACGGCGAGACATATGTGATGGGATGAACTTCAGCACCACTGGGATTATCAGACTGGTTAAGATCTGATGGTACGATCTTGTGAGGGGAATTAAGTTTCCAAAAATAATGACTCATTATGGCACAATATACAGTCTCTAAAAAAAGGCGAGGCTCATTTACCTGGGTTAGATTGTCTAGATCCTCTTTTCGAGTAGAAAAGAAACAATACAGTCTCTAAAAAAAGTTGAGGCTCATTTATCTGGGACTGGGATAGATTGTCTTTTCAAGTAGAAAAAAAAACAATACAGTCTCTAGAAAAGGCTCACTGTAGTAAAAAAATGGTAGATAAAAAACACATTGTTACCATAGATATAAGAATTGAGTTTCATGTGTAATCCTACGTGTACATGTATAAAAGAATTCAAACACAGGGCTGGAAATGACACCCGCATATGCACTGGGTGTACAGCTAAAATTGGAGTTTACATAATTTTGCACGTCCGATATCTACCTGTAGTCCTGTACCTTTAACCTAAACTGTCTGAGCCATGACAAAACCAGTCTGATACACTACTGTGACAATATGGTTATGTAATTATTAAGTTGCAAAACCCTAAAGCTCTAGGTTTTCCTGGTGCAGGTGCATGTTGTATAATTTGTCTGGCACATATATTGTATTTTGGAACGTTTAGCCTACATATCAGTGTATACGCAATTGCAGAAAAAGTACCCCTCAAAAGTATTCCAAATTTGAGCCCTGCAAACAATATTCATGTTATGTCTTTATTTTACACTATTACCTTAAGAATTAGTCTGAATAACAAACTATATCAAACTCTATTCATACATCTAAATGAGGAATCTCACAATGAATTCCCAAAATAGCAATCATCAATACAAGGTAGGCTATATAAGGCAGTTACATGAAAGGCACCTCATGTATCTTTCATATGCTAAATATGTCTATGCCAATTATATAAAAAAATGACTGAACTACGTTTTTACCAATCATGCATCAAGTTCAACTTGTACCCTTGGAGTTGAGAAACAAGTTTTACACTGAACCAAGAGGTTTACTTGGCATACATGTATTGTTAGGAGTACGTTCCTTGACGTCCAATTCTAATTCAGAACACACTTCCAGGACAGCTGAAACGCTGGAACAACAAGTGTTTGACGTCAGGGCCTGGTATTTTTGGCTATAGCAACACGATGTGATTATGTACAATAGCTCCAAAACACAGACTGCTGTAAGGCCTAGGAAAAAAATGTTGTGTTTCCTGTTTCACGAGCGACCCTAGAAAAACCTGCCGACGCTAGCTATAGACTTTCTTGGGGGTGGAAATTTCATGCCGGTCAACCTTTCCTAAGGCCACACCAATTTAATTTGTTGGTTCTCGGATTTTTTCAGAAAAAATATGAAGCGACAGGGCGAAAAAAATAAAAAATAAAACAGGTCTAGGCATCCTATTATAGGCTTAAATGCTACGGAATGAGCCATGAAGTCAACACAAAAGGCTGGGTTAAAATTCAAACATTGAATTTTGAACTTTTAATCAAACCACTGCATTGATAGATGGGAAAACTGTAACAACTAGGAAGAAAAGGACTTTCCTCAACTGTTGGGGGCAAAATATGAGCATTTTTCAGTTGATTCAGGACCAGAATCAATTTTTTTTTTTTTTGCAAATCAGAAA